TTAAAAAAAAAACAATTAATATAAATTGTTTGTCAAATTACCGTTAAATAGCTTTCAAAATATAAAAGAAAAACCATAATATACAGACAACAATTTATATATTTTGTACTCTTCTTGAATTTTTGGCTGGTTTACAAATCGAATCGCCCTAATCCCTACACACACACTAAAGCACACCTACCCACGCATAGTTGTGTGCATGTCAATGTGGCTGAGGGTAGGAAATGAGTTTCAAAGTGCTTAAAAGTGGCTGCTGGTGTTTGGCTTTCAGTCCGATGGCCTGGAGTGTCAGCGTTGCGCTACATTAGATTAAACAGCTTAAGAAGTCAGCCAGTAATGCCAAGACACGCGCACATACGCACCCGAACGCCGGGGCGAAATTCATGGGCTAAGCTGTCAACGTGGCGTATGAGCAATGTCGCCCTTCGCATCGCCTTTCGCTTTTCGCCCCGACTCGGATGGTGATGCGGTCTTCTTGTGCGATGTGGCAGAAAAATTAGTGACCCTGAATTAAATTGCCATTATTTTCAACTCACTCGAAAAGATGCGCAAAACACACACATTCGCTGGCTTCGAGAGTATTTGAGCGGCTGCTGAAAAGCGGATTTAATATGAAAATTCCGCATTACGAGTTGTTTGTCGTTTCACTTTGTGTACTGCAAATACATATGCACAGGCAATTGCCTGTCTGTGTGTGTGTGTGCTTGGGTGTGTGCGGGCTTTGCGATTGAAATTCAATTACTTGTGTCCCTTTTTGCTGCCGTCCAAAAAGCGAAAAAAAAATAAACAGAGAAGCGGGCTGCGAAACTTTTTTGCCACGAAAAAAATCGTCATATTCAGCCAGTAAGCGTATGTGTGTGTGTGTGTGTGGGTATCTGTGAGCCGTATCTGGTGAATGTCATCTGGATATAGCTACAACTACGGCAGCATAACTTTGAACAACTGTCAGCCGGGTTCAGAAGTGGGACGTACGTACATGCCCTTTGAGGTTGGTTAACTGTCTCCTGCGTGGTCCGAGTTTTTATCGCAGTACTGTGTCAGTCTGCTTAGGCTCGGGTTTGAGTGCCAGTAGTTTAGGCAGAGGCTGCCGAAAAATACAAAACACTATCAGCAGGCCAACATGAAGGACCCAGAAGAAATGGAGAGACATTCCCGTCATGACACACAAAGTTATGACCTCTCGTCTGGCAATCGCATAAATCAAACCTTTGTCTTGCAGGTGGCAAGAGGTCTACGCCATAGATACGTCGACCAGTTTGGGAGCTGCATCAAATGAGTTTATTATGCCACATCAAAGGCCATTTAATTTACATTTTTTCGGGGTAATTTAAATATTTTCTAGATTTGGGGCATATAAATTTGCTGCTTAAGCAAATAAAATGGCCGCAATCAATGAGAGAACAGATATTTGGCAATTAAAGAAATTCAATTAGCAAAGAGCCCTTTGTATTTTGATTTATTACGTAATACATATGATTGATGCCAGTTTGAGCCCCAATCATAAAACATCTTTTGATTATACTTATTTTACTCAGGGCAAGTAAATAAAATTAATGAGCCGCAAATGCAAATTGAGGAAATAAATCCACCAAATCATATTTAAAACACGTGGCTTTATCCTTCGTTCTCAACATTTTTGTTTTTATTATTTTTTATGGCCGCTGTTGTACCTTTCACGTCAATTGGAATGCCATACATTTCAATGATTACGATGCGCAAATATTCAATCAACTGTTCGCCTGTTAGGTCTATGTCCCCCCCTCGTCCTCTTTTCAATATCCGCTCACCAGAATACAACACCCCTATATCGTCGGTTTGTTATGGGTTTGTTTGTGGGTTTCGCGCGTCTGATTGCTTCATGTGCGAACAATTTGAACATTTTTTCACGTTTATTATTTTAAATAATCGATTTTCGGCCGAACAAATAATGGCGTTTATGTACGTGATGGCCAGGGGATATGTATTTTATGACCGCAAGCTAAGGACACTCATTATTCGGTAATACCGTGAATAAGAAACAATAGCTTCAAGTTTGGCGTCTTAAGCCGATTGTTAAATGCCCTTCTACTTTAAATTCCCAGAAATGTATAGAGGGTCAGAGTATCTATCATAATAGTTTCCAATTAGTGAGCGGATGCAGTGAACCCACTTTGTAGGGCATATAAATCTAGAGCAATTTGTTTGTGGCCACTAAATTGGCCAGAACCCCGCCTCCTGCCCCTGCCCCTTTCCCTCCCCCTGACCATGCCCCTTGTGTGTGAGGCGTCACAGCTGCGGTTCATAAATAAAAATAAATACATCGCTTGATTTATATGGCCCTAATGAGCTCTGTGGCCAGTTCAAGCGACTTTGGGCCCAGCAAAGACCGAAAACCGAAAAGAGGCAAGCCACCGAAATAAATAAATAAAATCCGCAAGCACATCATGTAAATGCTGTGCAAATAAAAAGATACATTCGGTGGGCAACAAAGGAGGGGGGAATAAAAAAAGAAAGAAAAACTTGGGAAAAAAAATAAAAAAAAAAAAAAAAAAAAAAAAAAAAAAAAAAAATAAAAAAAAAAAAAAAAAAAAAAAAAAAAAAAAAAAAAAAAAAAAAAAAAAAAAAAAAAAAAAAAAAAAAAAAAAAAAAAAAAAAAAAAAAAAAAAAAAAAAAAAAAAAAAAAAAAAAAAAAAAAAAAAAAAAAAAAAAAAAAAAAAAAAAAAAAAAAAAAAAATAAAAAAAAAAAAAAAAAAAAAAAAAAAAAAAAGAAGGAAAATGGCTATGCAGTTGGGAAAGTCGCAGTGTTGCCTACTTTTCGGCTGCTTATCCGCCGAAAGGCGGCGGCCATTTATTCGTTACGTGCGACACACGAACACACTCACACACACACACCCATGCACACCCACTATATATCTCCCCAATTTTGTATATCCTGCTCTACGTTTGATTTGCTTTCAGTGCGTGCCCATCATCATCAGCATTAGGCATGATTGTTGTTGTTATTAGACAAATATATATCTATGTATATACGGGAAGGAATCGCTGAAAGGCGTGCAACTGTTTCTCGCATAATGACGCTAATTTTGTACGGTCCGGCAGTGTTACCGTTCCGCCCCCTCGTATTTCTCCCGCGCAAATAACTTATGAGGCGCATTTTTCAGGACCTCGGCATCCTGGCCTAATGTCAGGTGATTTGACAATGGCATTTATTAATTAAAACATGTGTCGCACGCACGAGCGCTCCCAGACAGCGGATCGGCCAGACGCTATTGATTCGTCCTTGCCCAACTGGGACGACACTGGGTCCGCTCGGGAAAAGGTTAACAGGCTGAATTGGAAGGCCGCCAAAGGACCAGAATAGAAGCAGACAGGACACGGCAAAATCATATTCCCGTGTGAGTTGGGGAACAAGTCAATTGGTCGATTCTTAAAGCTCTTGTCAATATGTATAATACATTATGGTTGCAGTGAATGAAGGTTTAAAGTGTTTGGAATAAATAAAAAATAGTTAAGTTAGCTTATTTATATATTTTTACTTGGCTTATTGAAAAGTCAAGCTAAATACAAAAATTTAAACTCGGCTTAATTCCATTATGACCTTAAAAATAAATTATAAGCTGTAGCTTATGATTCCTTAAATTAAGAACTTTTCTAAACTGTGTGTATAATGGCTAATATAATTGTTTTGTTAAGCTAGAACTAATAGTTTTAACTAAGCTTTATGTAACCATAGTATCTTAACATTAAAAAAATGTGTTTGAACATTAAAGCAATAAATGGACCCATAATGTAAGTAAATATATCAGACCGATTAAAAGAGCAATTTAATCCGCAATTTAAGCGATAATCGCAGCTTTTAAGAGGCTTTATAATTGCAAATTAGTAGCAGATAATTCATAGACCCACGCGGCATGGCAATCCTGATGGCAGGACAAGCCAGCGATGGCAACTCTGGCCAAAAAGAAGGCAATGCGATGGGGAAAGGACAGTAGAGGCCAGAGGCATTGGGACAGAGCAGAGCAAATGAAGTCACGTACGTGCGATTTTTCTTCTGCTTTGGGGCACATATTAAAATACGTGCGTCTCGCTTTTACTATAACTTTTACACAAGCACACACACACACACAGAAACGCACAGCCACTGACACACATGCACATTAATGGCGGCATGATGAGGCAGCTAAGTTTGCGTGTTTGTTGCTGCCGTTTGCCCCACTCACAAAAGGGCTACAAATGGCTTAGGCTTTTCCGCTGTCCCAATGTGTGTGTGTGTGTGTGTGTGCTTGTGCGCTCTGGTTTTTCGTTTCGGTTCTTATTTTTTGGTTTTATGTGCTGGCGTGCGTGTATATATATTTGTTTCAATTTCAATGACTGCAAACAACATTTGCACTTAGTAAATAAAATATAACAAACGCAGTGGGTCGGGTGATGCTGTCGGCACTCGGTTTTCGGTTCGTTTAAAGTTGGCCACACTCCGTTTAATGTTTTTTGTTCGGCTCGCTTTCGGCCCTTTCCCTTTTGGCCAGTGGCCAGCATCCAGCATCCAGCATCCAGAGCATAGCGTCCAGATCCAGAACCAGATCCAGAGCTGCTCATTTGCATTTTGGCTGCTGCAGCTGCCCAACACAAAAGTGGGAAATGGGCCAATGAACTTGCAGACAAAGGCCTGGGTCCATGCTGGGACTTTGACTCGAAAAGGGAACGCTTGCTCTATTTTTGCCCATCTCCGTTTGTGTATATATTTACACCCGTTGAAATGAAGAACCTACATTGCTAGGGAATAGCTGTCACAGAGCTCGGGAAAATTATGCCCCTTTCTGATCTCTATTCTGTGATCATCGCTGAAATAAAGCTGACGAAAACTTTTAATTTAAAAAGCCTTAGCTTTCTGTTCTTTTTTTAGTTTCTGATGTATTTCTGTATATAGTGTTAAGCCTTTATTTTACTTTATTCAGAAGTTATCCATCCATTCACCAGGCATTTTTTACAATTACAGTTTTTTGTCTGTTATGTTAAGCCCAGTTGCGAGACTAAAAAATGATGTTTTCCTTTTGAATATCTGTCAACACTGGTACTTGCCGGCAAAAACAAACAGAAGCAATATCGTATTCCCTCGCCCCTTCTGGCCAGAGTCATGTGCACTGCGTCGTTTGGGGACAGAAGGAGACCCATTGTTGTTGACTAGATTTGTATGCGCCTTGGCTTAGTGCAATGGCCACTTGGTTTTTCGGTCTGTGCCCAAGCACTTTAAATTCCCCCATGTAGGCAACTTTATTGAATTTCCTGTGATATGCAAAGCAACGGTTCTCAAGACTATAGATATGCTATCGATAGAAGGGCTAGAATGCCCAGCACAGCGCACCATCTGCGGGGGGAGATCTTGACCATTCCACTGACTTTATCCTCGTCGCAGTTACAGGAGTGCCGACAGATATCACAGTCCGAGAAGTTTTGGTATAAAGTGCCCCCCAATTGCTGGCAGCCCATCTTCGGCGTCCAGAAGCAGCACCAGTCCAAAATCGGACCTTTAAGACATATCAGTGACCTCGATCCTAGTTTTATCAACATACAACATACCCGTGACAGTGAATTTATCTGGTAAACATTCCGCTAAATCCAAGAGTTTCTCCTGTTTTCCCTTTGAAAAATGAATATTTTGCTTATCCGTTTTGTTTGTACAATAAACGCCAGACTTGGATATGGTACATTTGGACTGAATGTTACTACAGTCTGAGCACTTCGCGTCTGGTATATATAATACCTTATCCGCCGCTTCCTGGCATCCTAAAAAGAACATTATTAGCAACGTAATCAGACTTTTTCTCGTGAGCATCTCTAATTTAGGTGTGAGTGGTAGTCTATTTTTGACAACTTATTCCGTGTTAATGCTGTCAAAGGAAGTAGGTCGAAAAATTCAAATCAAGACTTCAGCTCAGAGTTTTGGATAATAGAACCACAATCATTAAGAAGTATCCAACTTTAAAATCGCACGCCATTTTTCGAAAATTTGGAAAGGGGTTTCCTCATAAAATGACGAAAAATCGACCTAAAAATAGAAATCAAGATTTAAATGCAGATTTTAAGAGAATCAAACCACAATCATTTAAATGTATGCCTCTTTGAAATCGGGTTTCTGTAAGAAAATATATGGGGTTAGAATTGCAGGTTTCGGACCATTTTCTGCAAAGCCGTTTTTCGAAAATTTTTCAAAAAATCGACCCAAAAATACAAACCAATGTTTAAATGAAGATTTTTAGAGAACTAAACCATAATCATTTAGAGGTATGCCGCTTTGAAATCGGATTTCTGTAAGAAAAGTTATTCGAAGTTATGGTCGGAGATGTGGCCTTCACTAAGTTGCAACAGAAATTATACGGTATAAAAATATTAAGGATACAAGGTCGCACAAACCTTTTTCCGACTAGACTTAAAGATCTAATTAAATCTCAGGAAGTTCGCGATAAAATTGTAAATGCTAGGCAATTCCATGCAACGTAAAAAATAATTTTCTTCAGGAAGTCAAACAGTAATTTCGTTTCTTCGTCTGTGTGAGAATATATCAGCCGCAATTTATCTGCCACGGCACCGGTCCTATGTGCGTGCTCATGTGTGCAGGAGTCGGAGGAGTTCGGAGGATAGGGAAAGTCGAGGGCGAACGACCCATCCAAACCTGATGAGGGTTAATTTGCCAACGGCTCAACAATTCATCAGCCAGTCCAATTAACTAAGCGCGACCCATTTCCCCAGCGAGGCGGCGCGACTTGTCGGGTGTTATAAATTTAAATTTAAAGGCCAAACAAGGCGCGGTGCCAAGTGCTTTATCGCTGGCCTAGCAGATTCTCTGAAATTAAGAAAAACTGCCTGCCCAGGCCAAATCCGAAGTCGAGGACCCTGGCAGGATCTCCTAGCCGCTTACAGGATGTCCAGGTGCTGCTGCTCGGCTGGCCAACTACTTGTATTTGGCCCGACTCCGTTGACAGCGTTTGCACTTTATCCTTGTCAGCTGTTATCGTTTGTTGCTCCTCCGGCGAACGACGCGTTCGGTTTGAGAAATTGCCGCACAAAAGTCAACGTGTAACGAGAAAATAATAAATGCCATTAATACAGCAGGTGGGACAAACAGACAGCTGGGCGGCCAGAAAGTGAAAGCGTGCCAGATGAAAACGAATGGAGTATGAAATTGAAAAGCGGTGAGCACAGCTTAAGCATCCTGTGAGATGGAATAACCGAAGCTTAGGGTACCCTTTCTGAAGCAGAACTATAGGCAAATGAAAATTAGTAGCCTTAAGTTTGTGTCTGTTTGTGATCTAATACTAATAACTGGTTCAACTAATCTGTTAGCATAAAATTATTGTTACTAATTAATATTTATTGACATGTGCGTAATAAATACTAATACCAAGAATGATTTTATCAGTGCCTTGCAAAACTAATAAATAAATTAAAGGTTTCTGGCACATTTAAAACACAAACACATCAAAGAAGAAAACTGAAATGTGACAAACAGAGCATAAGCTTAAAAAAATCAAATTGGTTGTTTGGTTTTATACAGAAGTTATTTTTCCCAAAGCTTCTTGATCAATTTAAAATAAATGTGCATGATTTCTGTTTGATATGGTTGGAATTATGTTCTGATCAATTATTAGGAGCCTTTACCAATACGTATGTGTTTGAGACCAGGTGGCGATTGTCACGCAATGGCAGCTGGCCTAAAGGCCGACGAGAATTTGTGCGAAATGTGCGTGCGCGACTTGGCCAGCATATCCCTTATCCTTTGAGTGTTCTTCTTTATTTTATTTTTTTCGGGGACACAAAAAGGGAACCTTTGTGTGTGTGAGTGCGGTTTTGGGTTGGGCGTGGCACAGGACACGGCATTTTTTTCGTAGTTGTTGCTTGTGTCTTTTGTTTCCACCTCGTGCCACTTGACATTGCTTGCGGTTTGTTAGCGGTCCGGACAAATTCCAGTGTGCAACAATCTCGTACGGAAAATTTTGTTATTCAAAACACGACGGATTACCGTTCATTCCGCTTACTCACACACTTACATGCGATTCGGAGGCAGCGAAATGGGAGTACACTGAGACAAATAAATGGAACCTATCAACATCTTATTGATTCTTTTGATCTGAGTTCTTGCCCTGGAATTTATTCTTAAAAAGTTTTAAGCTTTAATATATTGATAAAGAATATACAATTTAATTTATATATTTATAGTAAATGCAGATACCAACAGGTACGAAAAAATAAAATAGTAATTATGACTGTGACTATTTCTTATATAAATGGAAAATAATAATGTTTATTTGAAATAAGAGGTACACCGTTTTGAAATACTTAGTTCTGTTAAGTCAAATAGATAAACTAATCAATCTAGATAAAATCAAATCAAAGGTTTTTAATAAATAATGTGTTATATTGTGTTTTTTTTCCAGTGTATATATACGCATGCCTATGTGAAGACCGCAGGCGGCACCTTGCCCTGCGACTCATGTCGCTTGCGTTGTCACACGGCGCACATTTGTTAGACACTAAGCCCGTGTATGCCTCTCCGGTCGGGATAAGAATGTTTATTATGTTTATCACACACACACAGGCTTGCATGCAGTGGCATATACGCACACCAACAAACAAACACGCACACACTTACAGAGCGGGCACAACTACAAGCCAAACCGCAAAGCAACCGCACGTACAGAACTTAAAGGGGCTGACGGCAAATGACAGACAACAAAACGGCAAAATGAAGCCGCCACATCCGTTTCCGCTCGCAGCGGCCATTGTCTTGTGTAACTAACTTCAAAATGGCGACACGCCATACCAAGCAATTATGACCACGCCTACGACTTTTGGCATTTTGCAGTGCCCTCGGTCCCTGCCAGTTTTTATTTCGCTTTATTAAATGCTTCAGGTAGCTACTTAAACACGTTTTCGATTAGAGCAGCTGCTGTCATTACTCAAAGTCGGGGGGGGGGAAGGCAGAACGGAAGGCGGTCTCGCCTGTCTTTTGCCAGTGCGAAGAGGAGAAGCTTTTCCTTTTCTTGTCTTGCCCCTCTGCAAGCGATTTCTTTTCTTTCTTCTACGCTGCTTTCTTTTTCGGTTTGTGTACATCCTCAATATTTTATAATAAAGTGAAATTCCAGGAAGAGAAATACAAAAATGTGCAGCTAAAGTTGCGCCAGGAGGCGGAAGGGAAGCTTGGGATTGGTGTTTACTGGAGTGTGCTGATAAGGCTTGGGATCAGCTTAAAAGAAAGGGAAATTTGCAGTATTAAAACGAGAGAGGGAGGGGGGGCCAGGAACAAAGAATATTATTTTTATAATCAGTAGACTACTTGTGTTTTTTTCCTGATAAGCCAGGCTGAAATATAACTAGCTGCAGTTGTGCAGCCAAGATGTAAACACGGATATTATCTGCCACCCATAAATTTAGCTTTGAACAAAGAGAAAGTTATTCTTCACAAATTTTTAACGTTAGGGTTTTCATGGATTTCTAAGAGCCAATAAACGAGATACTTGCTCTAACTTTATGTATACAATTAAAGTTTCAAGTTTCTTTATGTATTGACCATTTAAAAAGTCTATTAATATTGGCTTAACTTTATTACTAATTTACACAAATTTATTTTATGGGTTTCCTTTAATTTGTTTAAAATTAAATGAAATTTAATTCAAATGAAATTTAGCAAGTAAAATACTTTGAAAGGGAGAGAGACACGATTTAGCCCCTCGGTATTACAAAACTGAGAAAAAGCCCTGACTAGAAGCTACTCCCAGCATTTTAGAGTGTTTAAGCAGCTTGGTGCCGCCATGGCAACCGAGCTGAGTAGCTGGGAGAATCCATCATGGAATCATGGTACGAAGGATACCTCGAAAACAGCCACAACCTGTCATAATTTGATGTCTTAAGCCGGTGGACGGGCGGGGGTAAGTAAAGTGGGTGTGCCTCTTTAAAATAAATCTGAAGGTACTTTAATGTTGTATCCTGTTATCGCTGACGACGTGCAGCTGTCGCTATTAGCGTGCGACTGCCATGGCCTCCTTGCCTCACATTTCCCTGCCCATCGTTCCGTTTCGTCCTGCCAAATGACTGCTCCTGCTCTGTTGTGTTTCCCTTCATTGCTTGATGCCGCGTGTTGACAGGATATTTACAGGATTTCTATCAATATTCCAGCATTAGCACGTACGCCTGCAATGAACGTGAACGTGAGTAATGCCATCCCGCAGCAGAAATACGGGAAGCTCTACGAAAAGGCTCGACAGAAAGACAATGCAAGCCGCTGAGCAAAAGTCGCTATGATTAAATTGGCTTCTAATTTAATCATATTTCAACAAAGCAGCTGATGTAATTAATATTCAATATTAACACTAAGTGTATACATATTGCTTAAACATTAGGCATGTCAAAGGTCTTCTAAATTTTGAAAATACTCAATATAACAAACAACAATTGCTTACAAAACTACAAATATTTTTAAAAAAATTTAAGTAATTTAGTTTTAAATTATATTACATTTTTTTACAAAAATATATTTCAATCGAAAAGTGATATGAAATTTAATTTTTAAATTGTAATTATGTTTTATAAATTTAAACCAACATTTGTTTTCTTAATTAGCGTCGTATTATCATATTATTTAGTGAGTCTGAAAAGCTTTTGTAGCTTCTTTTGTATTCATTGCTCTGATTGCTTCTATTTCTCGCCATTTCTTCAGCAAATTGAAAGATCAACAAGGCTGAGGCGCAGACCGTTAAACTTATTTCCGTTAAATTATTTACATTTCATTTGTACCTGCAGTCCGTTGCCTCAATGGGTTAAGACGAGGGCTCAGTCAATTGTTGCCGGTCAAACAA